GCTCCATCCGTGTTAAAATATATTTTTAAACTAACATCCTACAGTATTTTTACAGTCTTTATTTTACAGTTAAAATATATGTTTATTAAATAAAGTCTAATGTTACAACTAATTGGGGATCCCTTTAAGACAAAAATAATCAACTATAGGTTGATTGTAGTTTTTGCTTTGCAAATATTTTTATGATCTTTAGCAGCTTTGAAGTTTGTCGCTTTTGACTTCTATGTAAATTATAAAAATATCACGTGCGGTATTTCAATTTTTTTGACATTGAATTTGCACAAACAGAACATTAAAATGATGAAACTCTCTTTGCTCTTATGTTTTTGTACTTTTTAGACTATTTATGCAACGTTCTTTGGAAATCGCCGTCATACGATTTTTCATTTGCATCATTGCTTATTTTAAAGTTTGAAATTTAATTACGTTAGATGAACTGGTGATAAAGTGGTAAAGTCCTCATTATTTTTGGTGCTGTTCTTGTTTTTGTTGTCAAACCCACAGCCTTAAGGATTTAGAATCTAGGGCATGATAACATAAAAAAGTAAGAAAACAAATCAAAGTTTTACGTACCTTCATTAATTCACTGAATTTTTTTTTTTTTTTTTTACTTTGGACTGTGGAGAAGACACTGGATATTTGTTGTCAAATATTATTTAGGATATGTATATTAGCAGAACTCTGGGGATCGACACTAATTAGCAACCAGATGCTTTGCGAGCTCAAACATCAAATGATGAGGAATAAAATAAATAAATAAATGTAAGTGTTTGAGCTCTAAACATGGACGAGATTCATTTGTAGGTGAAAAAAAAAACAACTGCCACTAATAATATTAATAATTACCTGACTGAGTTTAGGCAACAGAGCTACTTGGTTATCAATGACTTTATTTGTTTTTAGTCAAGGTTTGAAAGAGTGTTTTAAACCACTTATCAGCCATGAYCTGTTGTTCAAAAACACCACTGAAGCAACAATGTCACATTGATTGTGTGGTCAAATTTCAACACTTTGGAGTTGCTGCATCGTTGAGAGCAAAACACAACAAAGTATCTTTTTTAGGAAAATTTGCGAGAAGCAGTTTGGAATATTTTCAAATAATCATTAGAAGCGAAGGTAAATCCAAGGCCAAAACCRACATTTTCTGTGGTTCGTCTTTATTTATAGTGGTTGTTTTGGATCATTTTCTTTTAAACCAAACTTCACTTAATTATAGCCATCACTTCCTTCATCAGTTTTTTTGTCCCTGTTATCTCCAAGAACGATTTATACTTTTAAAATATTTTAAAATTATAATACATAAAACGGACATTCTTTGAAGCAATTCAAATCACCCCCTACCTTGTATGTTTTTAATCAAAGATCTTGTAAAATTTGTCAGCGGATGACTCATCTTGACTCAAACTGACTCTAAAAGTTAATAAGTTATGGATAACAGCCAATGATTACTGCCGTAGAGTTTAAATATCCATCCATTGGTTCATGCATGTTTTTCCTTTGCTTACGGACTAAAACAAGGATTTTCAACAGTTAATGCTAAAGTTTTAAACAGACATACTTTGAGCACTAACAGATTTTTGTTTACCACTTTGAGACATGTACTACCGTACTATAGGTCTGACTCATGTCTTGGTCACATACATACCCCTTCAAAAACATGCCTCATAGTTCTTACATGTCTATTTCTCTGTACACTTGTATTAAAGCCCTTTAGAGGCAGCTAAAATGTCACTTTTGTTGAATTAAAAGCATTATTTCTTCCAGTAACTATAAAATGTTGGTTACCAGTGTGATGGTGGAAGACCTGACCTCACACAGTRTGTTTGATTCCTTTTGTTCTTAAAGTCTTATGTTCAGTTTTGTGGGGGCAAAATTATTTTTATTTTTTTATTTTTATTTTTTGAAAAGCACGAGGAACTAGGGAGCAGTAAATCATTTAAATGGGCTCCAGAGRAAGATAAAACAATGCAGCAGTTTTCTAAGTGGAGAAACTTTGATTCCCCACCCCCCTCCTTTCACCAACGTGATTCCACACACCGCAAAGCAAAGGTTCCTAATCCAGTCACATGTGTCTCACGTTGGTTCGCATAATTCCAGCAGTTGCATCGTTTTATAATTGGGGCATGACGGGCAGGATTACGCAAAAGCCAGCACTAAGCTCGTTCTCACAAATCTGAAAATATAACCATGTTYCCCTGTTCTGTTCAGTGTCCACGGTGCCTTTAAGGACTGACAGAATATCAGGGCACTGTTGTCCCAACTGTTCAAACACACCGCTTTGAGTTTTACACTGGTCAAAACTGCATTTTCTGTGATTTATCTTCATGTGGGCCATTTGTCGATTCATAAAGTCAAAGTGAAATTGACCTGAATGAATGACTGGATTTGAAGGCCACATTTCAGTTGCAGAAGCAGGTTTGCTTTTGATTAAATCCATAAGAAGCTTTTATTGTAATCAGCTCACCGCTACTTTTTTTTCCTGCTCCCAACCAGGAGCCGTGATTCATTGTTTTTTCTTCCAAACTGTTTGCTTTGTTTTGAAAGTTTTCAGTCAGGACATTGGGAAGATTGAGACACAAGTATTTGATGGACTGCTGTAAGACATTCAAGACTATAAGTATCGTTTAAAAACTGACAAATGGTGCCATGTGGGCACACATCTCCTTCGTTAGCTCCGTGATCCTCGCTCAGCCGACCTCCTTTTCATCCAAACTCTTCCCTGTTGCCATTCTTTGAGTGCCTGTGTGTGAATAAACTTTGAACAGGATGGGTGGGGGGGAGGAATCATGTGAGTCGATGTGACTCAGCCCTAATCTTTGCCTTTAGTAAAAAAAAAAAAAAAAGACATTGAGAGCCATAAGCTTAAATGAGTGGTTTACATGTGTGTGACTAATTTTTGTGGCTTCTCTAAAACCTCTGTATCTGTTTTTATTGACAGGTGGTCTTAGGCAACCTATTTTACTTTTAGCCTTATTCTTTGTGGTCATTTTGCGCAGCATCATCAAACTGATATACTTAACATCTCCATCTCCAACAGGTCCAAGAGAGAAACCCAGGCATCCCTCTCCCCACCGACACTTTCAAACTCGTCCTGGGGGACCCCGAGGCGTTCCCAGAAGACACATAAACTCAAACAAGTGAATATCAGAAGTCTATGCCTGCCAACATCTCCCGACAGCAAAGAGGAACACCTGTTCATGTTAACCAGCCACTGTGGACCGCAGCAGTTCTAGCGGGGTCCAGTGGTATWTTCTCCCTGAAAATTCTGTAATAGATCTACTCAAAACTGTATTATGCAGCCATCTGAAGAGCATTTACTAAATTCTTGGGATTAATAAAACATAAAATCAATATTTTATGAAGTAGAACACTGAAAACCAGACTTTAACCTGAACTTTATCTGAGATCATAACTGAAACTTCCATTATCCTTTTTTTGTTTCCTATTTACTCATTGAGCATCAGTAATTAATCTTGACTGCAGCATATGATACTTTTATCATGAAATATCATCTGTACCATATAACACCTCATTTAACAAAGCAGGCTGAGAAACCCACAGAACAAGTTACACTAATGCCAAAAGTATTTGCTCACCCATCCAAATGACTGCACCAGTGCACAAAGCAAGGTCCATAAAGACATGGATGGCAAAGTCTGGTGTGGATGAACTTGACCGGCCTGCACAGAGTCCTGACCTCAACCTGACAGCACACCTTTGGGATGAATTAGAGCAGAGACAGCATATGTGACCTCACAAATGTGCTTCTGGAAGAAYGGTCAAAAATCCGCATAAACACACTCCTAAACCTTGTGGACAGCCATTCCAGAAGAGTTGAAGCTGTTCAAGCTGCAAAGGGTGGACCAACGTCTTACTGAACCCTATGGATGAGAAATGGGATGTCATATGTGACTCATATGTGAGTCAAGGCAGGTGAGCAAATACTTTTGGCAATATAGAGTACCTTCATAAACTTGAGTAACCAGC